CCCATTTGACTGCTTTGATTGGTGGAACTGGCTTTGTTACAGGTGCCATATAATACCTGTTCCACATATGTAAGAAACCAGTCTTTCAGTGTGGCAGCAGCTACACCTTGGAACTCCCTGCCTATTGATCTCAGGCAGGGGTCTTCACTGCTGTCTTTTCAGCTCCTGCTACATACCTTCTTGTTTAGACAAGCCTGTCCAGATGCTTAGAAAGCCAGCGCGAGTTTTAATATCTTTTTAGTCTATTGTCATTTTAACTTTTTGAAAGTTTTTCTTTTTGAAAAATGTTTTATCTTTCCTCTAAACTGCTTGCAGGGTGTGTGTTTGTTTGTTACAATCAAGCGCTGTATAATTTTTTATGAAATAAATAAGTTATCCTTTCCAACCAAAACTATTCTGATCTAATTTGGGCACCTCCATGGCTGCTAATTTATATACAGCTAAAGGTCCGTATAGTTAAAGCTATGGTTTTCCCAGTAGTGATGTATGGAAGTGAGAGCTGGACTATAGAGAAGGCTGATCGCCAAAGAATTGATGCTTTTGAATTATGGTGCTGGAGGAGACTCTTGAGAGTCCCATGGACTGCTAGAAGATCAAACCTCTCCATTCTTAAGGAAATCAGCCCTGAGTGCTCACTGGAAGGACAGATCGTGAAGCTGAGGCTCCAATACTTTGGCCACCTCATGAGAAGAGAAGACTCCCTGGAAAAGACCCTGATGTTGGGAAAGATGGAGGGCACAAGGAGAAGGGGACGACAGAGGACGAGATGGTTGGACAGTGTTCTTGAAGCTACAAACATGAGTCTGACCAAACTGTGGGAGACAGTAGAAGACAGGAGTGCCTGGCGTGCTCTGGTCCATGGGCTCACGAAGAGTCGGACACAACTAAACAACTAAACAACAACAACAAATATATTTAATTGCTTGAGAACCTGCTTTACATCTACTTGCATCCTTGGCTAGGTTGTCATCTATTGCAACCCCTATTAGCCCCATAAATTATCAGCCCCTTCCAACTTTGTGACCAGGAAGAAGGAATGGATAATCTCCCTTGGGCAAAAACTCTTAAAAAGGAAAAAAAAGAGGGAGGGGGAGATTGCTCTGGAGCTGTGGCTCAGTGGTTAGAGCATCTGCTTTGCATGCACAAGCCCCCACGTTTGATTCCCCAGCATCTCCAGGTAGGGCTGGGAAGATTCCTGTCCAAGATCCTGGAGAGCTGCTGCCGGTCAATGTAGAGAAAACTGAGCTCAGTAGACCAGGAGGCTGACTCTGTGCAAAGTGGTTTCCTGTGTTTCTAACGCCAACCCTGGTTTTCTTGTTGCAAGTTGTGCGCTCAGTAACTGTAACAAACTGCAGACGTTCACATTATATAATCTTGGGGCATGACCAAGTTCAACGCACAGATTTTAACGGCGCGATCTGGGAATAGTGAGGCCATAAAAGTTTAGTAGGAGTTGAGAGAGCCAACTAAATGAATTAGAAGTCTGAACTGTTAGCCCTGATAGAGAAATTGCAGCATTAACAAGAGCCCTGGGACAGGGGATGTACTCGGCATTTCATGAGATCTGCTGTTAAAATGACGTCTCCCTGGTGGTTCCTATGTGCATGTACAGAGATGAATCCTGGAAGAGTGGCAGTAAAATTGAGCAAAGGGCTGCGGTTCACCCAAGACTTTCTCTTTGTATCCAAAGAGAGGCAAATGATCAGTGACCTTGTGATCACTATTTTCCAAGTGTATGCATGCAAAGGTCAACATGTAAACATCAGAAGAGCCTGCTGGGTCAAGCCAATGGCCCATCTAGTCCACATCCCTCACAGTAAGCCCACAAGCACAACATGAACACAAAAGCACTCTCCCCTCCTGTGGGTCCAGCTGCTGGTATTCGTAAGCATAACTGCCTCTGACCGTGGACAGAGAGCATAGCCATGGTGGCTAGTAGCCATCAATAGCCCTCTTCTCCATGAATGTGTCCAATCCTCTCTTAAAGCCATCCATGGTGGTAGCCATCACTGGCTCCTGCAGGAGTGTGTTTTGTAGTTTAACTGTGCTCCTTGCATAGACATTAAACCAGGCTGTGTTTGTGGAGCAGTGAGCAAGCTTTTAAACATGTGCCTGTTGTGGTAGGAATACAGAGGCCCAGATCTTCAAGACAGAGTAATCATGTGCCCACATGTGCTGGTCAGATAACCTTTTGCATTTGGTCCACCAAAAGGTGTTCACAGAGCAAACTAAGCCAAAGGCCTGGCTTACAGATGCAGTAGGGATGAGGTGGTAGAATAAATCGAACCTGTTCAGACTGTAGTTGTGCAACCAGCATTTTGAATGTATATTCAAATGTTTTTGCTCCAATGTATGGGTCACTTTTCTTCTGTAAAGTGAATTCTTTCCACATTAAAGAAAACTCTTTGTAAAAAGACAACAGATGCAGGAAGAAGGGATTTTTTTAAACAAACAAACAAACAAACAAACATGGGTGACTCCCCGCAATTTCGAGGTGGTGTATTCCACTCCACCCAGGGGCTGAGGAAGGGGTGCACGGTGGGTGCGGGCTTCCCCAGGTGTCACCACTGAGGGTGGTGACAAAATGCTGGGCAGCACTCACTGTGGGGCCTGCAGTGCACCCGAGCCACGCATCTCTCCTGGGAGAGACACGGTGGCATGGGCGCATGCAGGCTCCATACTGCCCAAATGGTTCACCTGTTGCCTCCCCCCCCAGCTGTAGGGCGGCTGAGTGGGAGGAGGCAGGCAGACTTCAGAGGCCCCGCAGTGCACCCCGTCCCTAAGGACGGCTCGCCCTGCCCCTGGGCACGCCGCCCCAGGCACCCAAGCGGCTTCCTCTGCTGCTGACTCCACCATGCTGGAATCTATCTACTTCTTCCTCCTTTATCTGTAGGCTCTGTGCAAAATTTGAAGCAATGTGTGGAGACCAGGGAGCAGATGGATGGGGCCAGGGGGTGCAATATGACTCCCCCTGCTCAAACACTGTTATACCCAGATTTGCCTTGCCTCTGTGGAATTAGCATTGCTGTTATGAACTTGGGCTAGGAACTTACAGATCCTTCACACTATTATTCTATTACCTTGAAATAGGGAATCTTCCCTCAGTCATGTACAATTCTATTGGTACAGAGTGTGTGACAGAGACTTTATTTTACCACCTGGAAATCTAACCAGTACATACTGCCCCCTCCTCAATATGGAGCCTCTTTGCTGAGCAAATCCCCAATTCTCTCCTTTGCCCAGAAGAGGGAGCCAAGCCTCTAGCGGTTGTGCCATCCCGCAGCGGGGATGCTGGAATCGTTTCAGCTTGGTATCATCACACACAATGTGACTGGCTGTATTATTTATTATTCTTTATTGCAACTTCAAAGAACAGAATGGGAGAAAGGAGCATCGGCTAAACTGCACTTAAACAATCCATCAAGATTACAAAATCGCAAGTGGAACATTTTCAGCAAAAGGCTTGTTCCAGTAGACTAGACATTCCGCTTCTCAGTGTTGCTCTTAAAACTGCAAGGGCTTTCTCTATTGCATGAAATCTCACTAGACGCTTAAGGTTTGCCATATGCAAATCACCATATGTACAGCAGTGTAATGCTTCTGAGTCCGACAATAGGCACCAAGAATGAGTCATTTTATAAGAGAAGCTTTTTTGAGAGGAACCTCTAAGACCCTCTGCTAGAACTGCAATTCAAGACCTAAGGAACTGCCCAGGCCATGTGACTCCAGGGCAAGTCCTCAAATTTCTCCCTTAATGATAAGGGAGTGTCAACAAATCACAATCTCTATCACTGCAAGCAGCACAGATCCTTTCCAGGCAGCCGAAATATTCAAGCCAGCAATTTCCATCACTTTCTGGGAGTTAGTGGGTGAAAACAGTTCTCTCATATATTTGCTTGCTCAAGATGTTGGGAGAAATTCCAGTACTTTTTGGGGTGCTGTCTTAATGAGATGGACAAAGGAGGAAAGGATTTCATCATCTTTCTTTTAGCTAAAAAGGGGAGAAAAACCTTTCCAAGCCTCAGGTTGATGGCAATCCTCATGCACCATGGCATACTGTCATTATGGGAGACAGTGGTGGCTGGTGCTCATTGGTAGGACAGAAGGCAGGGAGATGAACAGAAGGGGGCACCAGCGCCAACTAGTTTTGTCTCCCTGTCCCTGAGACTAAGGAGGAAGAAGCTGACAGCAGGGATGGGGGAGAAATTCAACTCAGTTCTCATTCAAAGGTGAATCCACCTGATTCACACTTTCCAAAACAATAGGTGAACTGAAGCACAGTTGCCCTTTGACTTTCGCAACCCTCTGAATTTTGCAGTGCATTCTCTAGCCAAATACTGTGTACAAAAATGCATATATTGGTGAAAATAACATCCATATGTGCATAGTATGGGGGATCGCTTTGCAAACATGTATATTAGGCAAAATTGCAATAAAACATGTATATTAAGAGAAATTCACATTAAAATGCTAATGGTTTTTTTGTGTGTGTGAGAGAACATCTTTAAAAAATGTGGAAAGGTGGAGAACTTAAGATGGGAAAAATGAGAAAAACTGAATGGTGTGACTTGCCCTGGACTGGTTGTAGGCAGGGACATGGAGTCTGGATGGTGACATGCTGAGGTTGGTGGGGCAGTGCCTCACTTTCCCTAATGGACCAGCCTCCACTGCTGAGACAGATTGTTGGTTGGGGGAAAAATGTATAGTCACACTCACTGGGGCTTCACTCCAACTCCCTCAAGCATTGAAGAAATGTCAGAGAGGTGGCAAACCCCCACTTTCCGCATGATGTATGCCCTCTCCATGCCACCCAGCCAGTGTCAGAGTGCCAGGGACTGGACTGAACAGGAGGAATGGGAAATGAGACCTTGGTCTGATCAGCTACTCTCAGAAGAGGAGGAGTGGGAAGTCCCTCACTCCCGTCTCCAGCAGTTTCAGGAGGAGAGGGAGACAGGGATGATGTACTGCTGAATGAGGAAATGCCCTGTTATGAGATAGTGGAGGAGGAGGGGGAATTTAGAGAGCAGACAACAGAGACCTCCCTGGGGAGTATGGGAGACCCTCCTAGTCCAAGGGCTTGACGGTCCCTCCACCTTCAAGAACAGAGAATGTGGAGGGATGTGACTCCTGTGACTTCCCGTAGGTTTCCAGGATGTTGCGGGAGACAGAAGAGGAGAGGCTCAGAGTAGCCAATGAGGTCTCCTATGCGTGGAGACATGGATCTTTTGTCTTGCAACCAGACGACTGAATCAAAAGCCGTACAATATGAACTGTTTGTTCTTCTTGCCTCCGAGGCTACCGGGCGAGGAGAGGATACTGCACGCCTGACACAGGGCTATGCACACACCCTGATACGAGTGCATAGAGTTCCTCCACTATGGGTGGGAAGGGAGATCTGGGGTTATCAAGATAATCTCTAAGGTGGAGTAGCTCTACGCATCTATATGTTTACATCTGTATGTGCGTAGGATCCCTTCAGGATGTGCCACTGGGTCACCAAACATACGGACGTAGGAAGCTGACTTAAATTTCTATACATCCCTTCATGCAAAAATTACAGGACAGTTTACAATATAAAAACACAAAGATGCATAGCATAATGACAAACAAAAGCAATACCTGTCCCACCCCTACAGTTATTATACCAAGGCAGACCACTGGTCTATATTCTGCACTGACCGGCAGTAGCTCTCCAGGGACAGGTGTCTCCCACTGGGGATCAAGCTGGAGACCTTCTGCACACAAAGAACATTTCGTAACACTGGATGCAAACAGGGCAGAGCTGTGCGGAACCCTCACTCCCCACACAGGTTGCCTTCCGTCTCTGGACTGCGCCCTGCTCTCATCTCTGTGGCTTCTGTTTTTGGGGTTTGATAGCAAAAGGCTCCCATGATGTGGGAAAAAGAGCACAACGGGATTAATGCCCTGGTGAAAACTTGCAAGCTGCACCCAACCTTTCACCCAGAAAAAGTCTGACGGTCCAAACTTTTATGTGACGGTTTGCCAACTCACAACTGAACTTTGCCAGCATCAAGAATCATTTAAATTCCTCACAGAATGCGGGAAACAGATGAAGGGTCTGCAAAAAAGAAAAAAGAAAAGAAAAGAAAAGAAAAGGTCTCCTCTCTTATTTTGGTGACTTTACAGTGGATTGAAAAGTCAAGTTTCACAGTTTT